GATTGTATTGTGCATGGTGGATATTGTGTTATGCATTGTTTGTTTACTTGCGCATTTTGTCAAGCCTAGCCTATTGATAAAGTAGAATCATATGGACTTTTAGTTAAGAATAAATGAACCTTATATTGTGTATAGTCGATATTGTGTTATGCATTGTTTGCCTATTTGTGCATTTTGTTAAGCCTAGCATACTGATAAAGTAAAATCGTATAGATTTTTAGTTGAGAATATATGAACCTTAAGTTGTGCATAGTAGATATTGTGTTATGCATTGTTTGCTTACTTCTGCATTTTGTCAAGCCTAGCTTACTGATAAAGTAGAATCATATGAACTTTTAGTTGAGAATATATGAACCTTATGTTGTGCATAGTGGATATTGTGTTGTGCATTGTTTGCTTACTTGTGTATTTTGTCAAACCTAGCCTATTGATAAAGTAGAATCCTATGAACTTTTAGTTGAGAATAAATGAACCTTATGTTATGCATAGTGGATATTGTGTTATGCATTATTTACCTAACTTCAGTATTTTGTTAAGCCTAATATAATGATAAATTGAAATCACATGGACTTTCAAGTAAGAATATATCACAAACTTTTTTTTCTTGCAGCCGTCTTTAACTAGCCATCCTCCCGGGAGGCCACGAACAAGGAGGATAGAGTCTTCCAAGATAAGAAGATTTATCATTATTCAAGATGTAGGAAGGTTGGACACAGTTGCAAGAAATGCAAGAATCCTAACCCAGTATGAGAAGTGGTTACATTATACTTCTTTAGTGTACACAAGCAACTATAATTATGTATATGAAAGCATTTCTAAATAATATTTTTTGGGTAAGTGGGAATCACAAATATTTTTTGTTTGTATATGAAAAAGTAACTGTTAGATATTTAGGATATAGTGGCTAACTTTTTGTATATATCAGACTTAAAATATTGTGTCAAATTTCATGTGGATACTTGTTTTAGTACCTAGGCTAATACCAACATGAAATTATTCGTATATGATGTAATTGTCCTTTTTAATATTGGAAATGCATAGACTTTCTATTGAGCATGCGTGGACATCGTCTTGTGCATAATGGATGTTGTGTCGTGCATGGTTTGCCTAATCTCATTTTGTTATAGCCTAAGCTAGTGAAATACTAAAAATGTATGAATTTTTTGTTCAGCACACGTGGACATTGTATTATGCATAGTGGATATTGTGTCGTGCATAGTCTGTCTAGTCATTTTTGCTAAAGCCAAGGTTAGCAAAATACTTGAAATACATGGACTTTCTGTTAAGATGCGTGGACATTGTCTTGTGTATAGTGGATATTATATCATGCGTGGTCTATTTCATCATTTTGAGAGTTCACGCAGGTTCTGAATTCAAATTAAATAAATGACAAAATCATACTTTTGGTCTCAAGAAAATTGGCAATAAGGGCCTTAAAGCCTGCAGAGTAATATCAAATTCATTTAGGCCCAAATTATAATAAAGTTTGTTTTTAAGGCCCTTAATGCCATTCCCCCAAAAAATAAAAAATAAAAAGGTATGGTCTAGGAGATCAATCTTATAACTTAAAGGACTTGGTCTGGTCTGGTCTAGTCTCGTGTCAGGTTTCATGCCTAACTAGACTAGACCGTAAACTGCTATGTCTAGCCCAATTTAAAATTAGACTAGACCTCAGGTTTGGCTCTAAGGTGGTCTAATCCAATATTTGTGTTGCCATAATAGATATCATCAGTTTCAAGCGAAACATGCCCCACTAATTAATATCATACAACATAAAAGGTTCGCAAGTTTCAGGAGCCTCTTGTAAAATCCTAAATTCCCTAGGGGAGTTCTATGCCAACTTGACTAAGGAACACACATAGGTTTGCTTCATGAGAGACATTAGATAGTTTGATGCCACGATGCTCACACGAAATGTTTGTACGTCTAAAATCTCCTAAAAAAATGGATGGTCCATAGTTACATCCCTATAGATGAGGCTTAAAGCATTTAATGAATCTAAATAAATCCATACTTTTCCAATTGTATGATTCTTGCAAAGTTCAAACCTCAAAAACTATATGATACTAAACTATCTGAATGGCAATGACATGGGGCAAAATTTATTAACATATTATGTGGGTATAATTGTCCAACCACTTAGAAGGACAAAAGTAGTGGATGCAAAATCATTAATTAATAATTAAGTAAATAAGCCATGTGAGCTACATATTAAAAATGTTTAATATCAAAACACTTCCAAAAGTCAAAAAATTACCAGTTTTTTCATTTTTTATTTCGTGTTAATACTTATAGATGTACTTTCTTTTTCTTTTTTATAATATACTTTCACCACCATAACACCACACAATCATTAACTAAAAGCTAACAAAAGTCAATCCATCATCAAAATTATTCAACTTGCTCATGCTGGAGATTTTTTTGATAGAATTTACACATATTCATTGACTAAAAGCCTGTCTCAAAAGTTTGAGAAAATGGTGCAAGACGGAGAATGAGTATAGAACTTATAGGACTTTGGTTTTCTGAGAAAAACCTTGAAATATTGAACAATTTGAATACGTATGCCAATTTGAATAAGTATGCATGGAACCATATTATGATCTGAATCTTGATTCCTTGTATGAGAGTAGGAGCTAAACTATAAAACTGTAAGTCCTGACCTGGAGCAAAGAATTGAAAAGATTATATAAAATAAAGTACTTCCTTTAACATTTATCTTCACATTCACCATCATTACAAACTTGGAAGACCACACACTTTATTTAGTAAAACATATTAGATTTGAAAAGATGCATAGCCTAATGATGGAGTGGGTTTATGACATAATTATGACATATTAGAAAAATAAAATGTGAAAGAACCCACCGATTATGACATAATTATAAGAAGATTCAGAAAGGATATGCACCAAAATTCACATTGGATAACATGTGTAGCTTCTTTACCACAGAACCACCATAATCTTTAGTCAGTGATGTGTAGGCTTTTCTATAAACAACAAAGCAAGAATGCTTTGCCAAAATTGAGCAAAACACCGGCTAAATAGTTCTTTAAAAAAAACAAAACTAAACAAAAGATAAAATACGAGATAAAACCTAATTTGAAGTAGGTAAATAAAGGATCAAAATAGAGAAGGGAGAGAACAAAAAATTTCACTTGATGTGCCAACAGCATGTCAATAAAAGATAAAGTATAATAATCTCAAGAATGACTTAAGGAGTTACATCTATTTATGGAGACAAGCCAAAGCCAAAAGAGTGTGGGTGAAGATATGAAGAAAGAAATAACAGTAGCCACTTTTTTTATTAATTAAATTATATATTCTACAACCACTTTTTTACCATTGGTAATTTCTTTACATATCTAATACCTATTATTTTTATTAAAAATTTTATATTCATCACTAATTTTTATTATAAATTTTACATGATCTTTCAAAATACAAATATCTTTTTGTTTTTTACACTTTTTCTAATTTTTTAAAATTTACAAATGTAGGTCCCACTCTTATATTTTTTAATAGTAAGATCCACACCTTTTTTGTTTTTTATCATGGGTTTGACAACTAGAGATGGGAAATCAAGCAGGCTCAACTCTTAAGGACTTAAGCTTTAAATATTCATTTTTTAATTTTTGACCTAATTCTAAAATTTGACCCTTATTCAAAGAGCTTAAGATCGAGCATGTAAACCTGCTTTCAAATAAAAAAATAAAAATTCAACATTATAATTTAAATAAAATGTTCTAAAATTTAACATAAAACAAATCAAAATTTCACATTGAACAAAAATTTAAAAGTCTACATTTAAGATGAAGATTAAAATTTTCATCAATCTAAATCTAAATCTTCCTCATCATCATCTAAAAATAAAATATTAGATCTTTCATATGCAGGTCCACTTGTTAAATATGGAGGTGGAGGTTTAATGTTAATTATCTTTGCAACTTCTTTTTCATTACCTACAATAAATATTAATTAAATTGTATCATTATCATATATATATATATATATATATATCACAAGACAAAATATAAAAATCACCATAAAATAGCACAAAATCATTTAACCACAGGTACAAATTAATGCTTGTACATTATCTACAAGGAGGCGAGAATGATACTTTGTTAGAACATGAGAGCCTATGCTAAAAGCCAATTCATTAATTACTGTAGTGATCGAAATACTCAGAACATCACATGCCATGCTTGAAAGATTGGGGAATTATTGTTTATTAGTTTTCTATCAATGCAACACATATAATTCTTGAAATTGATAACCATCAAGGGAAGCTTCTTCCAAATAATAATCTAATTCAAATTTCCTAATGAAAAAAACATATATGCTCTTGAAATTAAGAAAATCTTACGTTTAAAAAAAATCCCTAATCTAATTATACGATGATTTTTTAGTTTTTTTTTAAATTGTAACAGTGCTTGATGGGTTACCCGAACTCAAACCTTTTCTTTCAGAACTTATTAGGGTCAAGTCTCAAAGCTCAGTTATCTTAAAAATCATCTATTTTTTAAGTTTAAACTTTTATTTAAATATTGCTTTCGATTGACTCTCCAAACCATGCCTTTATTCCTGGATTTACTCACAACTATTTTTTTTTATTTTTTAACAAAATAATTCATTAACAAAATTCTTTAAAAAATTTAGAGAGAGGGAAAAAAAGCACACTGCCCTTGTGCTTGTAGAAGATAGATAGATTGATATAGATCTACAGTGCCATGACTTTGTGCTTTACGATTATATATAAATATAAATTTATTCTTTGACCAGCCTACTTAACATTTTTTTTATTACATAAAAATTAAAATGAAACAGAATGCTTCACAGATTGACAAAACTTGATTAATAAAATTCAAATAGTCATGTAACTAAGATGATAATAAGATCCTTAATTTATTAATTATCGTAAATTAAAGTGATTATACCGGTATAATTTTGTAATTTAAAATCACAGGTATAAAATAAATCCTTTCTCAAAAAATATCCTCCCCCTCACAATCTAAATCCTCTCTTGCTTTACAGCTTTCGCTGATCATCTCTTTCCTGAGAAACAAGAAAGATAAACCCTAAACCGCCATAGCCATTTCGCTTCAAATCGATCGCCAACATGTTCAAAGCGGTTGGTACGTAATTAAACTCTTTTTGCGTTGATCTGTGCGTGGAATTCTGCATTATCACTTTTCTTTCATTTTCTTCGTCGCAACGATCTCAATTTCTTTCTTCAAAGAATGAATTAATCTTTCTTCTTCGATGTTCTTCTGGTTACAGCGATCTTCAACCGCCACAAGAATGCGCGTCGATTCAAGGACTACTACGGCCACTGGTTCAGCACCCTCAAGAACAACCTCCTCCCTCTCCTCCGCCGATCGCTGTCACGCCCCGATTCCCCCACTGTCCTCTCCACCCACGTCGACCTCCTCCACCAGCACTTCCAGGCGCTGTACCATGCTCTCGACCTCGCCGCCTCCAACGAAGACGACATTGCCGTCCTTCTCTTCCCCGATTGGCGCTCCTCCCTCGAGAAGCCCCTCATCTGGCTCGGCGATCTCCACCCGTACCTCTTCACCAACCTCGTCCGCTGTTTCCTCCAAGAAGACGACGACCTCACCACCACCACCACCTCCGACGACGGCTACTTCATCCGCAACAACAACATGACCGTAACGGATCTTCATCAGGACCGGCCGTGGCAGGTAGCGATGGCGTGGAGGAACCCGTCGGAGGAATTAGTAGCTCGGATGGACGAGATCGAACTTGGTCTGAGAGCAATGGTTCCGATTCTGACGACACGGATGAGAAATGCAGAGGCGGTGTTCGTGGACAGAGTGGTGGAAGGATGGTACCCGTGCCGGGGGAGGAAGGGGGCGGCGACGAAGATGGCAGTGGGATCGATTCTGACGGGTCACATGGAGGATCTGATGAGCATATTTCTGGATGCGAATAGGCTGAGGAGGAGCGTGATCGGAGAAATCGTGGGGAAGACGAGTGTGTATCAGGCTGCTCTGTTTCTAGAAGCATTGGCTCAGTTCTTGATTGAGTTCAGAGAGCAGGAACTAGTCAGTGCAGTGGAATGGTTTAAGGCTTCGTCGTCGACGACTCAGACCACCACTATCACCACCACAGATGCTCGTCACAGGCATCACTGAATATTTTTTTTCGTTTTCTTCAGATTTGAGTCTCTTCCAAAACAGCAATTCAGAGCTGTTAAGGTATGTATTCCACTATTGCTTATAGATAATATGATTATTTATTTTAATGTTACTGATTTTGTGCATTTGAATGGTTTTATTTGTAGGAGGTGATATCAGTTTATGTATTATTGAGCAAGATACAAGAACTAGTGTAGTTATGCTACTGACTGGTTAAAAAAAGTAATTGACAGCATCACTTTAGTCGTGATTGGTAATTTTCTCCCCTCATTTTTTGTTTCTAGTATTCATGGGGCAGACAATTATAAAAAATTGATCTCAGAGTTGCGATTAAGATGTATTAAGATGTAAATGGTATATTGTGTCCAATTGAATTCCTTCAATTGTTTACTTTTCTTTTTTTTTAACTGAAATAGTAAGACATGTGCAAATGGTTTTTGACCTTTTTGTTTTTTTAAGTAGTTGTAATAACTATAGGTGGGAATTGGGACTCGATAGACTATAATGTGACATGAATTTGAAAAATAATAGTATAATTTATTCATAATTTATATTATCACTTTGATATTTTATTCAAGAGATTTTTTATTTATTTATAAGTCATTTTAGTTAATTTCTATCGCATATTTTTTTCATTTGATTTCTATTAAATATTAAAAATTATTATTAAAATATGAATATTTAATAAAAGTAAAGTTAAAAAATATTAAATTTTTTAAATAAAATTAATAAATTTTAAAGTTTTATTAATTCCGACAACACATGTTAAAATTGTGTTATAAATAGGGCCATAGTATATCAATACCATATAAAGAATAGATGGATTGATTGTTACTATAATTAGTTTTAGTTGTTGTCAATTTATTTCTAACATGCATTGACACCCAAGTCAAATTTCAAAGAATATATCACCTAATTAATATATTAATAATAAAAATGACTTATTTTAATTTAGATGCGATGCAAAATAAATATGTTTAGTAACGAGAGTAACGGAAACGAAGAGCAGCACTTTATTATTTAATTTAAATTGCTTCCTTAATTAATTAATACACACTTAATGAAACGCAGCGTATAGACCACACTTCAAACATGAGCCACTCGCATTGCAAATTTTTAAATCAACTATATTATTCATGAGCTATATTTACATATGTTGATGCATTTACACATTGAAATCAATTCAATTTTTTTATAATATGCATTGACACCCAAGTCAAATTTCAAAGACGATCACCGAATCAATGAATATATTTATAAAAATAACTTCTTTTAATCTACATGCGATGCAAAACTAAACAATAAATTAATCGATGATTCCTTAATTAATTATACACGCTTCATGAAACGCCGCGGATAGGCCAAAGAATAACATGCCCACTGCCTTCAGAAATCCGTTGCTCTGACTCTGAAGCTCTGACCATTTGAACTCCGAAATCCGAATTTGAAGTCGCTTGCTAGCTTCAAGCAAAACTAAGAACGATGATGAAGATGAGCATATAACAAACAAATCAAGCTCGAGCTTCGTCTGAAATCACACTGAACATGACCATGTCTCTGGATTTTCCTTTCATGAACAAGAACTTCCTGAGAATTCCTTCCCTCTGAAACCCAGCCTTCTCCAGAACTCTCTGAGACGCCACATTCTCAACATCAACCAGAGCTTCAAGCCTCTCCAGATCCGGCAACTCAACGAACGCCATTTCCATCACCTGCTTCACCACCTTCGTCGCGATCCCTTTGCCCCAATACTTCGACCCTAAAACATACCCAAGTTCTGCAGATTTCGCTCTGGCCACGTCATCCCCGGCGAGGGATCGAACAGAAATCGACCCGATCGCGCGATCGCCGACACAAATCGCTCTGAACAATAAGCACTTTGAGGCGGAGTTTTGGATGAAATCGACGGCGGTGTCTTTGCTTGTGTAGGGTTCCCAGCTGCAGAATTTGGTCACTCGTTCATCGGTGGCCCAGACCATGAAATCGTCGGCGTCGGAAAGGAGGAGGGGTCGAAGAGAGATCTGAGCCAAATCGAAGGCGTCTTCCATTATTGGATTGTGGCTTTGAACGAGAGGAAATTTCGTTGCGGGGACATTTATAGTGTGATGGTGAATGAAGAATTAGGCATGGAGGATTTGAGAGGGGATCAGGGCAAGGAACGAGAAGGCGACAAGACAATGGAAGATGAAATAAATTGATAATATTGAATGGCTTCAATCCGCCTTGGCTGACTTTGGGAAAGAGATGGTTGATATGCGAAGGAAACGAGCGAACCGGACCCGGTTTGAACTTTGCACCGATGGTTTTAAAATCAGAGCGGTTATTGAATTGAAAGAGCCAGTACTTTACATTTCATATAATGATGGTCCGAAGACGTAATAATTAAATAAAAAATAATATTAAATATATATAATAAATATAAAAAATTATAATATATTAATAAAATGATATAATATAATTATAAATTGATAATATTATAAATTATTATATTATAAGTTATAACTTGTCAAATATATATAAATTTTAGTTAAATTAAATATGAGTAAACTTAAAAATATTAGTATTTATATATATATATATATATATATTTGTTAACATTTTTATAATAAAATAGTATCAAATTATACTTTATAAATATAAATTGTTTGAAAATAAAGTTGATTTCTAGTAAAATTTAATTTTTTTAATTTTTTTAGTTTTTTTAATTTTTAATATCATGTTTAAAATGATTCAATTTTTTGAAAACCACTCTAATTTTGATTCAACTCATAGTTCTTATTCAATAATAGCTCAGCTCTTATCTAATCCGACTCAATTATAAAAATTATGTTTTAGTTCAAACTAAACTGTTGACAACTCTAGTAAATAACTTGACGGTTAGTTTGATTAGATTTTTAAATTATTATCTTAAACTTTGAACTATTAGTAGATTGATAATTAAGAAATTATTGATATTCTTGGAGTCTTTAGTGGTAATATCAAAAAAACATGGTGGTCTAAAATTCTCTAAATCAGTGATCCACTTAACAATTGCCCTCAATTCTTTCATGAAAAAAATAAGATTTATTAATAATTCGTAGTCTTAATTGAAAATATATTTACTTTATAACCATCCCCTCATGTATATTTATGTATGTTTGTGTTATTTCAAAAAAAATTGATCATTAATTATTTTATTCTAATTTTATCCTATTATAATTAGTGGAGAGTAAAAAGTTACTTGAGAGAAAAAAAAAATTTTAAAGATACGCATTTAATAAAGATAAATTGAGAGAAAAAAAAAAGCAAAATCAATAATTTAACTACTTTTTGGTTTTATTTTATTTTTTAATAACCAAGAGGGCAAAAGCCCAAAATCAACTAAACAGCAATCTCTTTCAGATTAATAAAACTCAAGTAATCTTCAGTCAAAATATCTCAGTAATATATAAGATATTATCCAAAGTTATTGTTGCAAGACTAAGGCCAATTATGAATAGGATCGTATCCCCATATCGGAGTAGCTTTGTGATTGGGAGAAGTATAAAAGAAAACATCATCGTAGCAAAAGAAATTGACTATATCATGAATAAAATGTATGGGAAAAAGGGATTCATGGTCATATAGATTGATCTCAAAATGGCATATGACAAGATGAACTGCAAGTTCTTGGTTGAGGTCCTTGAGGAAATTGGTATATCAGAAAAGCTATACACATTAATAGAATCCTGCATCTCATCGACTTCCTCTCAATTTTTCTGGAATGATTCTAATTCTGAAAATTTACTCCCAACTAGAGAGGTTCGACAAGGTGATCCCTTATCCACATACCTATTTGTGCCTGGAATGGAATAACTAACACACATCATCATGGATGCTGTATAGTAGATAGAAAATGAAAACCACTCAGAATTGGTAAGAAAAAAGTGCAGATCTCACACTTACTCTTTGCCGATGACCTATTATTGTATTGTGAAGCTGATAGGGATCAACTGGAATGCGTATTGAATTATATGAGACTATTTGGGGATGTATCCAGGCAAAAGGTCAATCCGAATAAAACAACAGATTGCTTTCCAACAATGTAAGTTTAGAAAGACAAAATGAGTTAATTCAACAGTGTGGCTTCAAGAAGGAGGAAGAGCTGGGTAGGTACTTGGGGGCATACATACAAGAGGAAGAACTACAAAAAAAAAATATTCCAAAACCTACTTGATAAGGTACTAAAGAAACTAAGTGGGTGGAAGCACAAAAGTTTATCTCTTGCCAGGCGATTTACTTTAGTGCAACCAGTTACACAACAACTCCAATATTCCAAATGCAACATGACATGATACCAAAATGTGTTTGCAATCAAATTGAATGACTACAAAGAGAATTTATTTGGGATGACAGTAAAGGAAAGAGGAAAATTTATCCAATGGGATGGAAAAAAACAATGCCTTCTAAAGGGACAGGGCGGATCCGGACTCCGAAGTCTTACAATAATGAATGAGGCATTAATTGGCAAGGTAGGTTGGGAGGTAATTTTGAAGCCTGAAAAACTAATGTCTAAAATGCTTATTGCAAAGTGTGGAAGGAAAGATACACTCACAAGTACATGCACAGAGTAAAGCAAGGGGATTCAATATTGTGGAAAAAATTAGGTGACCTATGGTAAAAGCTGACACATAATGTTAAGTGGCAGGTGAATATTGGTTAAAAAATGAACTTCTGGAAAGATAGCTGGTTAGATGGTGAGGGACCACTAATTAATAAAAGCACAAGCTGCATGACTAATATAAATCAAGAAGTCAAAGTAGCAAAGCTCATAGGAACATATGGAGAGTGGAATATTGCAGAATTGGAGAAATGGTTACCTGAAGTGGTGGTTGCCAGAATTCAAGCTGTCTTACCAACCAGTCAGGAGGAAGGGGAAGATAGGGTCAAATGGTTGAGTAGTGACAAGGAAAAATACTCTGTTGCAGAAACGTATGATGAGCTAAGTGAGTTTCAAGCAGCGAAAGAGGATCCAATTTGGAACAAGACATGGGAATGGCGTGGACCACGACAAATACAGGTATTTTTATGGTTCTATACAAATGGAAGCTTACTAACTTCTATGCTCAGATTAAAAAATATTGGGAACACCTCTAGTATGTATTTGATGTGGAAGAGAGAATGAAGACAGTCTACATGCTATTAGAGATAAAACTAAAGCAAAAATAGCAAGCACTTAAATGTGAAGATAAGGTCAGTAATTTCTTTTTTCTCTCATTACATGACTGGGTGTTAATTAATCTACAGAAAGAATGAAAGAGTGAGTCTGGCTGGCACTTGTTATGTGCAATCGAGGCATGGCAATTGTGGAACTGGAGAAACGCTCAACTATTTGATGAGGGAT